TGTGTGTGTGTGTGTGTGTGTGTGTGTGTGTGTAACCTTGGTTTATTGATTTTTTTTGGGGGATATTGGACTCAACATAAAACTATTTCACCACTTTCTGTGATGATTTATATTTTGTTCTCTCTTAGCTGGTCTATCATTGACTTGTTCAGGTGTGTGCGCGCGGCTGAATCACAAAGACAAAACACTTGCAAGACTCTAATCCAGCTGTGTGTGCTGAGGTACAGCGTCAGTTAACAGACACACACACACACACACACACACACACACACACAGAATGTGTACAGAGACCAGATAATGAGCATCTCAGGTGACTACATGCAGTGATTACCAGGTTGCTGGTGTTATAGGAAGTATATCACATAAACATACACTCCCACTCTGTGCACACTTATTCAGACACACACATATATGCACACACACACACACACACACACACTCTTGAGAGATCCTTGGTTATCACACCCTTCCAGATTGTTCTGAACTACTTATGGAAAACACACACATCTCAAGATGTGGCCACACTTGCCAATATGAGCCCAGTGTTAAGAACAGTTGTTGTCGTTGTGTGTTTTTTTTTTTTTTTAGCATCTCTCTAAATTCCTAGCGTTGCTAAGGTGCTTTGGGAGGGGATTAACAGAGGCTGGCGCCGATGAGCAAGCCTCGCAGATTTCCAACCAGCAAGGAAAAAGACAAAGAAAGAGGGGAAAGTAGGAGGAAAAACAGCAGAGGGTTAGACAACGGGGAAATGGCAGTAACAGCTTGTGTAAACATGATGACTTGAGAGGTAAAGAGGCAGAAAATGAAGGAGCGGAGAGCAAAGGAAAGTGAGATGAAATAATAAGTGAAGGAGGCCTCAACTTTCACGCAGACCAGGTAGAGGATATCTCCCTTTTCCTCTTCCTTTCTCTGCTTTTTTCCTTCTGCTTCTACCAAAAAAAAAAGTTCCATCCCTTCGTCTTCATCATTCTCTTTTCATGTGCTCTATCTCTCCTCTCTATTTCTACTCTCTATCTCTTTATTCCCCCAAGGGCAACAGTTTCAGCTCCAGACACTTTTGTCTCTCTTTCTCTCTGTCATAGCTTCAAACAGCGCCGGCAATCAGGTCATGCTGATGTGCCCGGAGCATCGGTGACTCTGCCGTCTCAGGTGAACATCTCCCAGCGTGTCCTTGATGACACTCTCTCCCTTTCTCCCATCTCGCCGCTTTTAATTAGCGTAGTGAAGGCAGAAGAGACAGCTGAGCCACGTTTACCAATTATCGACCTGCTTGTCCGAGGTACCTCTGTGACAACATTGCGATGCTTTCACTGTTTCTGCAGCCGGGAAAAAATTATTACACATGAACTGACCTTGATTTTAATTTTTTTTTTTTTTTAAAGTTCCTGAATGCTGACTCGGAGAGAGAAAACAGAAAATGTTTTCTAAGAGTGAAATCTCTATCAGCCAAAAGAAGGCGCAGCAAAGGGAGGGAGGTCCACATGCTTTTCTTTGAATCCTCTCCTGAGGCTCAGCTTCTCAGGTAGAGTGTAACTGGATGCGATCTGTTTGTGGAATACAAGGCACTTGACCAAGGGCCAGCACTGCTCCTCCCTCGCCTCCCATCCCCTCCCTCCCCTATCCTTCCCCTACCTGGCTCAGGTTACCCCTCAGTCCCCCGCCTCCTCCTCATCCTCCTCCTTCCCTTTCCTTAAAGTGGTGGCAGGTTGTGTGTTTTCCAGCTGCATGTGTCTATGGATGTTGAAAGGCATGTCTGTATGTTTCTTGCTCTGTATCCAGACAGGTGTTTGCGGCTCTGCTCGGCCTCGGCAGCTGGGGCTCCTGTAACTGTGCCCGCCTCGGCCACACTGGCTAATGTGACTGGGTTGGCCGAGGTGCCGCGGCGGCTGTCTTTCAACCACTGATCCCCTCAGAACTACTCATCTGATCAGGCTGGATCTACGCTTCACGGCTGCTGGGGTCACACAACCCAACCCCGGGGTCAACCAGCTAATTACAGACCCCTGTGTCCTCTGTCTCTGTCACCACTGGGGGGATATGAGGAAGGTGGGATGAAGCCTGAGAGGGACAAAAAAAAAGAAGAGAGAGAATATTGACTTATAGACATCACAAGGTCAACCACCGTATAACCGAGCTGTGCACGAGTTTGAGGCTCTGGTTCTTTTCAGCGTCTTGGTCGCACCCTTCCCAGGCCTCGGGCAGAGATAGAAGCTTAGACCCATGGGACCAGAGCTGCGTGAGTTTATGTGGATTTATGTATCAGCCTCCCGCTTTACAGCCTTTCTTGTCTTTGTTGTCACATTCACTGTAGCGGTCCGATGTAGCGCTGCTGTCACGACTCCACGGTGAGTCAGACTCCTGCTTTTAAGAACTGGAGAATCCACATGTTGTGTTTAATTCCCTCTAGCCCGACCCCTCGCTGTGACCATCGACTGAACTGGGATTTGAAGGATGCTGCACACTGGTCGCCAGTCACAGAGAGAATACACATGCGGACACACAAAGGCTACATACAAAAAATATGTACCAAACCACTATTATATTACATTAGTCTGCAGGTTCATTAATCACATATGCAAAGGTTTCTCAGTTGACATTAAGAAATTAATCCAAAAAGGGGCCATTACTCACATGCATTCACAGCAGTAGTTACATCTGTGACAATGCCATCTGATTTAAACCTGTTACTCCAGACTGTGCTAATGATGCCACCCAGGGCCAGCCAAAAGAAACCTCTGTGTGTTCACTGAAACAATAAAGCACTAACTATGAAGCAATTTTCATACATGTAGTTAAGGAGCGTGTGCTAGTGCACGTTTCACAGGGGTCAGTGGGTGTAGCAGCAATTACCTGGTGCAGCTTTTTTCTCACAGCTTGACCACCGCAGGTTTTAAATCTTACCGTTGAAATGTCTGATGTTAAAACTACGCCGGTCGTACTTCTTTTTTTTTTCTTTTCCTTTTCTCCCCCGACAGCCATTTCTCCAAGCAGACAAATACTCAGATCAGCCACAACATTGAAAACGGTAACTGGGTTTAGTTGCTGTAGGGAATGTTTGATTTGAAATGATTCAAAGTTGAACTCTAAAAATAAAAAAGAGGAGAAAATGTAAAATAATTTGTGTGAGAGAAACAGAAATATAGAGACCGAAGTGCAATGTCTGCATGTGTGGTTACACTGCCCTCTTTTGAAGGTACTGCATCCTGGAAATCTGTTGCAGGAATGGAAATGATTTTAAAAAATTTAAAAAGCCAAGATGTAAAGTTAACATATAGAAATCCATCCGAAGTGAAAGTTATTTTAAATGAGTTAGAACAAAAGAACCTTTTTAAAAAGAAAAGATAATATCATAGCAATCGCTGCACACATATGTAAGGCAGCTCAAATCGATGTTGCATGGCAGTAATCATGTTACATGTGCTTGTACAAACATCTTCTTTCACATCCATGGATTTCTCTTATGTCTTAGGTTTTATTCCACTCAAAAATAGGCTTGAGAGAAAAGAGGTTCATGAACCTTTCAGATGCAGCTCAAATATGTTGAAGGAGAAAGATGTTTAGAGCTCGAGGGAAATTTCTAGTTTCTGTCCTTGTGCACAGAATTGTGACAAATGCACCATAATGAATAACTAGCTCAGGTTTTATAAATGATCCAGTTCAGTGCAGTAATGTCCAGACTGGGTTTATGTAACTCCTGACATTGTTCTAAAGGGGCAAAACAGATCATTTAAGACTTTTGAAGAACTTCTGCAAACATGATAATGTTAAACCAAGTTTAGATTATTAGTTATTTTTATTAAAATTAATGTAAAATGTAAAAACACAATATTTAAATATCAGGAAGAAAGGAAGGAATAAAGACTTTACTGACTATAATGAAAACCTTTGTTATCATGTGTCATTATGTGAGTATGAAATAAAACTAAATGTAAAGTTTGGGTGATGATCGGGTCATCAACTCTGTCACATTTATTATTTAGCCTCTTAAGAAGCTTTCAGTGTATAATGAAGTTCTGTTTTTTTATCTTTAGCGTCTTTCTTGTAATACCATGTATTACTATTTGATATTACAGAATTAATTATGAAAGAAGGAGAGAGAGAGAGAGAGAGAGAGCAGGGACCAAAAGCTGCAAAGGAATTTCAAGTTCGGAACCAAACCTTCGGCGTCTGCAGGAGGACTCCAGTGTCCATCCATGGGGCACTATATAACTCACCTGGTTGGGTGGGCGCCTCAGCTTTGTCTCATTTCTTCCCTATGGTGTCATATACAACATATATATTCTGAAGGCACTTTACATAGTAAGACTGAGACCTTGCAAAAAGAAACCCAACAGCACTGACGACTGTGGAGAGAAAAAAAAACAATTAACGGGAAGAAACCCCTAGAACGAGACTGTGGGCGGCCATCTGCCTCGATCGGTTGGGGGGAGCAGAGAGAAATGGGTGAGGGAGGAGAAAAGAAAGAAGGAATTGTATAACTTCTTTTTTTTAGTCCTTGAAGACAAAACATATTCAGAAAGCACTTTCCTTTGCAACTTGAAGTGTTTCAATCAAGTAGTTCAGTTTTATTTAGTTTTTAATCCTAAGCATCTTATAATTATCTCTCATCGGAGACTTTTAACGCTTCAGCCTGGAGCTCTTTTAGGTCTGATCCATGTCCTCCTTTCTTGTAGCGACACAGTCCTCTGCCCTCAGCAG